AAGAATGTTACTGTTGATTTTGTTTCAAGAGCAAGAGAACCTGGATGTGTGTCATCCACCTCTGTCCCCGTGGTTTTCAGACATGAGGTTTACACTCCTGTGAAGTTGTCTCCATCCCGCTTTCATTTCCTGCCCCTTCTAGTGTCTCCTTTGGCATTTTTCTCACCAGGAATGGTTCTCAGATGTGTCTCCACTGAGGCACCCACCTCTTTCTTGATACTATGGGACAGTTACCACCACTGCCAATTCTGGATGGGTGACCCTCCCCTTAGCCCCCTGCCAGTGGAGAGGGGCCCGGCTTCAGCCCCCGCATCTGTAAGATGGCTTGGGGTCTCAGGGCCAATGGTCTCATGTTCCCTGAGAGTTTTCTCAAGGACCAGGAGCCCTAGTTTAAGACACATTCTATTGCCACTTTAAGATCCATTTGGGAGAAAAAGTGCTGGACGGGCCAGGTCTGGGTCTCCCCCACCTGGTTTCCTGACTCACCTCCCCCAACTTTGCAGAACTTGGATGGGTTTGCAGGGGTGCCTGCAGTTGCTCCAGATCAACAGCTCAGGACCCTCCTGGCCAGGAGTGCTTGGCCTGAGGACCGTGGACGGGCAGGGGCAAGACCTCCCTCAGGGAGGCTGCCTGCCACCTCTGTCCACCCATACATCCAGAATGCTAGAATCTGAGTATCAGGGAGATTTATTTTCAATTACAGTTTAGGGCAGAGACATGAGATAGCACAGGATTTGAAAGCAGTGCATAGATCCACATGCTCAGGTTTTATTGATTGCAACGTTGTATCTGTCAGAACAAAACTCCCTTAATGTGGCATCCAGCCGAGGAGATACATAGCTCCCTGGCAAGAGGCTCTGACTGCAGAATCGATGTATTTTGATAAATATGTCCTTATAAAGAGTAAAAGTTACTTAACTCGTTTGTGCTTTTCAAGATGATAACTTGTGTCTCTTGAGCTCCCTCCTGGACAGCGCTAGAGCCCAGGCCATGTTGTTGGCAGGCCTCCTCCCTGACACGTGCGGCCCATTGCCACTCCGGGGACACTGTGTAAAGCTTGGCCTCGATGTCTCTGGGCCCTCGAGGATGGGGATGGAGCCTGGAAGGATGGAACCACCCACTGTCCCTGTCGGCAGGGACGTAGCAAGAGGCACCATCTGTGCCAGGTACCGGGCAGGTGTGGGAGCAGGAGGGCGTTGGCCTTTGAGGAGCACAAGTCATATCACTCTCTGGTCATGTCGCACTCTGGAGGACAAGCTCAGGGATGGGAGGGGAAATGGCCCTTTTTGACTGTGGCATCTGGGGCCACCCTGAGAAGGTGCAGGCCTGGGAGAGGCAGGGCGGGCATCAGGACAAAGGGACCACATTGCACAACTGGAAGGAACCTGGTGCCTGTGAGGAACTGGGAGCTCCCGGCAGAGATCTCTTGGCTTCACAAGGAAGTTCAGTCAGGAGCCGCAGGGCCTGGTGGGCAACTTACCTTCTCTACACCTGGAAAGGAGTCCAAGGCAGCCTGCAGGATGAGGGCTCCAGCGGCAGGAGCTGTGGGGCCTTGGTCAGGTTGAGAGCTGGCACTCTGTCTTCTGGCCATCCCAGGGCAGGAAAAATGCCACAACCACCCGCGTCCACCGAGGGCCCCCTGCAGGCCAAGCATGCACTCTGGGCACAGGGCAACCCCCACCCACTGCCTCCAACCCTACCCGAGACGGCGTGGGCCAGGCTGACTATCATAGAAAGACAGGTCTCTGTCCCACTGTGATTGTTCAGCCTCCTGCTGTCATAGGGTCCTAGACTTGGCCTGTTTCTCATGGCCACTGCCACTTTCTCTAGACTCAGAAACCAGGTGTCCTGAGAGTGACACGTTGCTGGCTGCTGGCACCCACAATTCTGCCCTCCACGTGGCTAAGTGGAGACCCCAGGCATGACACACATGCAGTTGCCAGGTTGGGGAGGCTGTGTTGGGGCTTCACTGAGAAGATAGCAGCAGGGTCCTGTGGCTGAAGGAGCGGACAACTCCAAGAGCTGCTCCCAGCAGTCCTTTCCCAGCCAGCTCTGGAGGCAGAGCTGGCCATGCCCAGGAGAAGCCCGTGAACAGGGCCCATGCCGGGTCCCAGGGCCTGACCTTGCCTGAAACAGGTGGGAGCCAGGGAAGAGGGCCAGATGCTCACCTTCCGCCACTCCTGGGAGATCTCAACCCCAGTCCTCCCAGGCCACACCTGCAGAGACACACCACACGTGCAGAAAGATAGCAGGTGGCCTCACTATGGGTGGAGCTCTAACACCTGAGACCTGCCAGTGAATAAACAGTGAAATCTAATTAGCGTCCCAACAGGCAATTTCCCATGTTAGTTTGCAGTGCTTGTTTATCGTAGTCATAAGTTTGGTTAATACAGATTCATTCTTTGGAAAATTGTGTGATTATAACCCATTGCAGGTGTTCTCATGCCATTAAACCCACTTGGGAAGGGTCAGCGCTCCTGGAGGCTGGGGAAGGAAACGTATCAATAAACCACAGAGCAGAGTTTTAAAACTTCTTAAAGAAAAATGATAGATTCACAGAAAGTTGCAGATAACACACCGGGAGGTTCCTGGTACTCTCCCTGCATTTTCCTGAGCTGCCACTGGGCATTGGCGCCGTGCACGGGCCTCTGCTGTGTTATCACACGTGTAGGTCGGATGTCCATTGCCACTGTCAAGGTCCCAACATGTCAGTCACCACACACTGCCTCCTGCCTCCCCCGGCCCACGCCGCCCCCCACCGCCGTTTTCTCAGTAGACAGTGTCGGGCTGCACTCCCCCTGTGGCTGCGGAGGCACCCTGGCCCAGACAGGACACTGAGGCCCCGAGCACTTCTGGCACAGTGCCTGTGCGGGCCATCCTGTGTGGGCCACCGGCTCAGGCTGGTGGCAGGAGGGGCCCACATCTCCCTGCCTCATCCTGGCCGGGCCACTGGTCCTCGCGGCAGCTCCCGGGGCCCCAAGTGTGCCCGGCAACTCTGCGACGTCAGCGGGACTCTCCTTGCTCCTTCCACATTTCCAGCTCTGCGCATGGGCCTGGGTCTCGTGCGCGGTCTTATCCTTATCCTGAGGGTGTTCACCCGGGTCATGCCGTGTGCTGAACACAGCCCACTCTGGGAGAGTCAGGTGTCGAGCAGCGGGAGGAGGGTGCCGTGGACGCGGGCAGTGCTGGTGTCTCCAGCAGGGGCATGATGGGAGGCAAGCCCAGGGCAGGGTCCTGGCTGTGCTGGGTTTCTGGGCTGGTGGAGGCCAGCAGGGCACAGGGTCAGAAAGCCACGCCAGGCATGGCCCCACATTGGTCCGTGAGCAGCCATGACAACTGTGGGGCAGGAGAGGCCTGGCTGGGCAATTTGGCACATTAAAGGTAAGCCATTGGGAGACCACGAGGCTGTCCAGTCCAGAAGGGACACAGCTGGGGTCAGAACTGCACAGTGGGGATGGAGGAGGGGCCACAAAGGGCCCCACCGGACTCAGGACAGGCTGCATCCTCCCCAGTGCCCACAGCTCACATCTGCGCCTGCCCAGTCTGGCTGTGCCAGGACCACAACAAAGCCCACCCCGCTTGGCTCTTCTGCCTCCCACCTGTGCAGGCTCCCGTGCTCCTGATGCCTCCTCTTCGCTCCGCACCATAAATAAGCCCCAAAGCCCATCCCAGCACACCATCCACCCTGCTTAATAGACTGGAGAGTGGGATGGCACCTTCCCGTGTCAGGTGGCGTGACATGTAAAGGAACATTTATGACCTATCCCAGCTAAGAACCTGCAGGGAGCAGGGAAGCTGACCCGTATGGACTCCACATGGTGCTTGAAGGGTGGGATGGGCGTCCACACACACTACAGACACTCACTGGCAAACACATGCACTCACATGTACACATGCACTCACACGTGTGCACACGCCCGAGTCCCTAGCTGGGTCTCCCGACCTCCTCCCTCCCTCGATGGCTGTGGATATTTTTGTTGAACATAATGAGCTGCTTGAGAAAGAATTGACCCAAGTTTGATTCTCAGCTGGGGGGCTCCCGGCAGCTGTGTGGAGAAGCATGTGGAAGCTGTGGCTTTGCCTTATGAGGAAGAGTGCGGGCAGCCGCAGCCAGCTGTCTAGGACCATGGGGGGCAGGACAGGGGCAAGAAGCCCAGCACTGGAGGGGGCCCTGGGGCCAAGGACTAAGAGGGGCCTTTCATTGTCTGTCGCCAGCCACTCCATGCACTTGCAGCCTCGGAGCCCCCCTCCCCACAGGATAGCCCTGATAGGACTCTGCCGCACAGCAGGAGATCAGAAGGTGTCTGATTCAGTTGTGCTTTTACTCAGTATTTGGCTGGAACATTTTCAGGGCCTCATGTAAGCAGTGGGAGGGCTCCTTGCAGTAGCTGCAACCATCGCCTCCCTGATCCCTGGCTAGCATAAGGGCCAGCACCTGTCCTGCGTTGCAGGGCTGTGTTGGGGCTGCTCCTCGCAGGCAGTGGCACGAGCAGAGGGCCCAGCGCCACCCTGGACGAGCAGAGGGCCTGGCGCCACCCTGGTGCAGCCCACCTGAGCTAGGGTCAAAGCCATCAGTCTTTGTGCTTCTGCACAATTATTGTGCCTTATACTTGCCGATAGCTGGTGGTTATTGATTGCTCTGCAGAAATGTGACCTAAGCCAGCTTATGAATAGAGGATGTTCACGGAACCGCAGGGCCCCAGCAAGGCTCATGGTGTCTTCAGTCCTGGTGGGTTCTGGGCCCACCGCTGACTTGATCCTGGTAGGGGGTGGAGAGTGGGTGCCAATTGTCCCTCCGGGCACACAGGCTGAGAATGGGGAAGGGGACATGTGTGGACGAAGCAGGGGCCCCACAGGAAAGGGCATGGGGGCCAGGGGTGAGGGACCTCTGCATGCGCACACGGCCCCACCATGGCCTCTTGCAGTGACCACCAGGAACCCAAGGCTTCCCTTTCAGTGACCAGATGCTCTGGGGCGGGGCTGTCATTGTGTTTCTTCAGGGGACACTGCCGTATTTAAGGATGGTGGGTACTGGATCCGTGGCCGGACGTCATTGGACATCATTAAGAGTGGAGGCTACAAAGTCAGTGCCCTGGAGGTGGAACGGCACCTGCTGGCCCACCCCAGCATTGCGGGTGAGTGCCCAAAGACGTGAGTCCCTGTCCAGAGACGGAGCTGCTTTCTCTGTATTTGACTGAGTCTTAGATGCTTGGGGATAGGTGGTCCTTTCCTACGTGCTGTAGAGGTCCCCTGAAATTCATTTCTGCCTCACACGCAGCCACCACATTCCAGGCTCTGGTGGAACTTGTAACCTGCTGACCCTGCCCTGGCTTCCAGGCCTGACTAGGGGCACACGCAGCCTGTGGAATCCATTTGCAGGAATGTGGCGCAGGCCCTGCCCCATGGTCAGATGGAGGTGGCATGTCCAGGCAGCTGAGCAGACGTAGAGCCACGTGGGTGGAAGGCTAAGCACCTGCAGACGTGCAGCCCCTTCCCCCACCCAGCCCTGAGACACATCGTAGGGAGCCTGCCCCCCCTACCCCTGCAGGACCTGCCAGCTCTGCACAGGCTGATTGGACACTGACGGTACTTCCTGCGCTCTCCCAGTGCTCTTCAGCCTGCAGTGGTCATCAGCGTTCCCAAGTGCCCCAACCTGTCCTCTGTCCTCTGTCCTCAGATGTGGCTGTGATTGGAGTTCCAGATATGACCTGGGGCCAGCGGGTCACTGCAGTGGTGACCCTTCGAGAAGGACTCTCACTAACCCACAGGGAGCTCAAAGAGTGGGCCAGGTAGGGCAGGGCAGGGGCAGGCATTGGGCACTAATGGGGTCCAAGGGGATGGGGTTGAGGCTGTCCTGTGGTCAGTGGGGACAAGAGTGAGGCTGCCTTCTGGTTCCAGGTGGGATGGGGGTAAGGACGTCCTGTGGTCCAGGGGGGATGGGGACGGGTGAGGACATCCTGTGGTCTGTAGGTGACGGGGGTGAGGCTGTCCTGTGGTCTGTGGGTGATGAGGGTGAGGTCATCCTGTGGTCCGGGGGACAGGAATGAGGCCAACCTGTGGTTCCACGGGGATGGGGGTGAGGACATCCTGTGGTCCGTAGGTGATGGAGACGAGGATGTCCTGTGGTCTGGGGGGACAGGGGTGAGAACGTCCTGTGGTCTATAGGTGACAGAGGTGAGGACATCCTGTGGTCCATAGGTGACGAGGGTGAGGAGGTCCTGTGGTCCTGGGGACAGGGGTGAGGATGTCCTGTGGTCCATAGGTGATGGAGACGAGGATGTCTTGTGGTCTGGGGGGACAGGTATGAGAACGTCCTGTGGTCTGTAGGTGATGGGAGTGAGGATATCCTGAGTCTGTGGGGGACAGAGATGAGGATGTCCTGTTGTCAGGGGGGTTGGAGGTGAGGAGCTGGGGAAGGTCAGCAGTGTGGGTCTTGAAGGTCGCTGCTGTCCTTGCCCCCACCCCCCAGTGTGGGTCTGGAGACAGGAAGGGTCTCTGCCCTCAGACCTGATTTGAAGGCAGCATTCCGATGTGTCAGAAGCTCGTGTCCTGGGACACGCAAAAAGTTCTGTCCCTATTTCAGGAGAAATCCTAGAAGATCGTCAGGATGGGCCCTCTCAGGAAGTGCTAGTCCAGAGGTGAGGTTCAGAATTGGTGCTGCCCCCGGGCCGGCCCGGTGGCGCACTGGAGAGTGCCCCGCTTGGGAGTACGGCTGCGCTCCCGCCGAGGGTTCGGATCCCATGTGGAGACCGTTTCCCGCTCACTGGCTGAGCGCGGTGCGGGCGCAACACCGAGGGTTGTGATCCCGTTGCCAGTTAGTAAAAAAGACAAAAAGGAAGGAAAAAAAAAAAGAATTGGTGCTGCCTGGCCATACAAGGCTGGCCAGAGCAGCCGTGGGCCCTTCCTCTCCAACAGACCATGGCTGCTTCTCCACCTGCTGCCCAAGCATGTGGTTGCGCTGGCATGGGACAGGCACTGGGGGACGGCCTTGTCACCCCAGCAGCTGCTTCCCCGTCCTGCCTTGAGGGCTCCCCTGGCGCCTCACCCTGCGGTAGGTGCCACGGAGACCCTGCACTGTCCCCTCCCCTCTCTTTCCTCCCTGTCTCTTCTCATCTTGGTTTCTTGCTGTTACCTTCACCTCACCCAAAACCTTCCCCAGGGCCTGTCTCCCACCTGTCTCTGCACCCCGGGGATCCACAGACCCTCCCCCTAAGCCAGCAAAGCTGGTGGTCATCCCAGAACTGAGCCTGAGCCATGTCCTTGTCAAGGCCACGGAGGGGATCCAATAGGACCATCAGAGAGAGCCATGATGAACTCCGAGAGGAATCTTTTAGCTTCACCTATGGCAAATAGTAACATCCCCAAATTCTTTTTAAATCTGAGAAATTCTCTTCTCCTATTTCCTCTCTACCCACACGTTCCCTGCCTCCACCTGACTTGCCTCCTCCTCCTTAGTGCTAAAGATATTTTTGGCTCATCCGACATGATTTCACAAGCAGTAGCAATCCTTGTTTCATCTGGGACAGCACAGGCGGGTGATAACAGATTCCCCTGGATTGGCAGAACTGCAGTTGGAGCGCCACAGTTTAACAGAAGCAGGGAAGAGTCTAGCTGGCTAGTGGCTGCTCTGATTAAACAATTACTTTGTTGAAAAGAAGAAAATAGGTATTCTGTGCTGAGAGTTGTGCTAGGGAGTTTCAGGGTCCACGTCTGCAGGAGTTCAAGTCCTGTACCACCTGGGGCGCTGGGTTTTCCTGCCCCCTCCTCTTCCCACCTCCCTCTGAAGGTCAGGGCGGGCTCCTGGCCTAGCGTCGGCAGGGCCCATATTGATCGCATGGGCCTGTGATGGTGGGTGTGAGCAGACCCTGAGCTGGGAGCTGTGTGCAGAGCGCTGGGGCAACATGCCTGGGAGAGCAGGACTGGGCAGGGTGGTGATCAGCCATTCAGTAGAGCCAGGCCTCCACAGTACATCTTTCATTGGCCACAGGTCATCCCCTGGGCGTGGGGGGATCTGGGGCTGAGGGCAGGGCCCAGGGAGGCTGTCCCTGCACCTGGGGAGGGGCAGGTGAGCCCTGATGGGGGTCCCAATTTGTAACTCCCAGACCCACCTGCTCCTTAGCGTGGGTCCCCCCCAACCCCAGACGGCGCCTGCAGGGTCCTGGCTGTCACGCATCCAGGAGAGACCACTACTGCATGAGTCTCAAGTCCTGAAGCTACATCTTACCACCCATACCTTCACGGCTGTCTACACCCCTCAATCCGGGGCAGCCCCTCAGTTGTCCAGGCTGCTTGCTGGGGGGTGACCCACACCCTCGCCCCTGGCCTGAGTGCTACCCTCTGCACCCGGGTCAGGCTCAGGACCTGCCAACAGGAAGGAGGCAGAGGAAGGAGGGAGAGAGAAGGCAAGTTAGAGGCTTTGTCCGAAAGGTCCAGCTGACTGACAGGAGTTCCAGAAAGAGAACAAAGAAATGATCAGGTTTCTCCAAACTGAAGGTGATGAGTTTTCAGGTTGAGAGGGGATTGAGGAAGGAGGAGAGAAAACACAATTGTAAATATCAGGAATGAAGGCACGAGTCACAGCCGACCCTGTCACTAACCTACGACACAGCAGCATCGCAAGCTGCTTCGTCCAGTGAAGCAGTGGTCCAGGGAAGCGGGTGCGTTCCTTGGAAGACACAAATTACCAAAAACTGACACACATACAAAAAAACCCAGAAAAACCGAATGGTTCTATATCTATTAAATAAATTGAATTCTCAATTTAAACTTTACCATAAAGCAAATACCAGGCTCAAAAGGCTTCACTGATAAATTCTACAAACGTTTAAGGAAAAAATAAAACCAAACCACAAAGTCTTCAATAAAATAGAGTAGAACACTTCCTAAGTCATTTGATGGGATCAGCACTACCCTGATATCAAGACCAGATGAGGAAACTGTAGACCAGTGCCCTTATGGGAAGACACACAATCCTTAACTAAAGTGCTGGCATGTTAAATACTATTAATTCACAGGAAAGACAAGAGATTATGATCAAGTGGTATTTGAGCCAGAATACAAGGTTAGTTTAAACATCCAAAAATCAGTCAATGTAATTCACCATATTTACAAAATAAAGAAAAAAAAAACCATATAATCATTTCAGTAGATACAGAAAAAGTATTTGCAGATTTCAATAACCATTTATAACAACTCTCAGCAAACTAGAAGAATAGCCTCCTGAATCTGTTAAAAGAGTCCATAAAAAACACTTCTCTCCAGCCCCGTTCAGACATGGGCGGAGCGCATCTGTGCTTTTCAAAGTCAAGGTGATGGTTACGTGTGGGGCTGGTGGTGACGGCGTGGGCCGGGTACTTCTGGGACAGTCTGTTTCTCCATCTGGCCACGGGGTAGTTGGGGGTCGTCACTTCAACAGAACTTTAAGAGTTCATACATATACCCTTATCACTCTGCACACTTAATTTCTGGAGGCTAATTACACCTGCGTGTAAGTGCATATAGTCTGCGTAATTTTCTAGAGATATATATATATATATATGCCAAAATACATTTAATAGAAAGATTGGAAGAAAAAAAGTCAAATATTCCAGAAAGTACAGCAAAAGGGCAAGAAGATGGATAACCGGAGAGAGAGCATCAATCCGGGAGATCTAATGCCTACCTAACAGTGTTTCCAGAAAGAGACTGGGAAAAATCAAGAGTTACCAACGAACCGACAGCAGGCACGTTCCAGACTGCAGGATGGAAGGTCTGAGGCAGTGTGGGTACCACGCCATGCGGCCCGCACCATGGGAAGGGCACAGGCCCTGTGGGGCACCTTGCTGCCACGGGCAGGCTTAGAAACCAGGCACAGCCACTGCCGTCAGCTGCGGCAGGGGCCGTGTGCTGCATCCTGGGCAGTGGCGCCCAGTGCTGTGTGTGAACTAGCCGTGAGTGAACTAGCCGTGAGTGGCATTGTGTAGTTGTGACAGTGTGAACACGGGTGCACAGCCACAGGAAGGGGGTGGGAGGAGGGACTGGGGGAGCAGGGAGTTCAAAGGTAGTGTCTGAAGTGGGGAAGAAATGGCAAACGCTGGCATGTTATTTAGAAACCTGGCAGCACAGAGATGCCGCTGACGTGGTGGAAGCTGGTTGCTGCCAGTCAGGAGACGTGGGGCGCGGGCTGCGACTGTGCGGGGCCCTTGCAGCAGAGTTGTGTGGCTGCACGCTCACCTGACTTGCCTGTGGAAGTGCCCGAGCGTGGGGCAGCCCGTGGGTGACGCCCCCCTTGGCCTCTTTCCATGCAGCATGTGACACTTTTTCTCAAAAACAAAGCCATAGTTTCTTTATCTTCTGAAACCCACTGGGTTTTTTTTCCACCAAACAGTAACTGTGACACTCCCCACCTGAGTAAATTTTGTTGTGACATGACTTTCAGTGGCAGCCTCTGCAGGGTGACCATCACCCTTAGGAGCCAGCGTGCCCCACATCAGTTGGGCACTGCCGCAGGGAAGGCCGGGAGCAGGCCTGGCTGGAGTCAGCCATGAAGCCACCGATGCCATAACCTGCCCCCCTTGGGGACAATGACAGGCCAGTGTGGAGGAGGCAGAGGTGGCAGGGAACATGGGGGAAGAGGCCAGGTCCCAGCAGCCTGTCGCTCCACCCAGCACTCTGTCCCTCCGCCTCCTTCACTTCAGATGAGGCTGGCACTTGCTCTTGTCTCATCTCACTGGCAGGGGACACGGCCCAGGTTGGCACAAGTCACTGCACGGACCAGGCAGCGTGCTCCTGGCTGGGAGGATGGGCCAGGTGCAGAGCGTGGCAGGTGTCAGGAGCCTCAGAGGAGGGCCCGCCCCGACCCTTCACCCGCACGTGGGGAGGAGGAGCCACTGTCCAGTTCTTCAGATTTTGGCTCTCTGTGGTGCTGTTTCTTTCTACGTTGTGTTCACTGCCATTTGGGATTTTTTCCTTTTTTAAAAGGATTTTTCCCCTTTTGTTGTCATTTTAGAAGTGTGTCACATTCTGCACAGTTTCTGCTCTGCTGTCGTCTGCCCCCTCCTGTAGCCTGGGGGACTCACCTCCACGACCCTCATCAGGCAGCAAAGGGCAAAGACAGCTCTCTCACTGGCCTTGGAGCTGGGGCGACGGCACCACATTTTTAGGGTCTGGGGATGTGGATGACTCACTCACCCTTTCATCCCCCCAGAGGGCCAAGCTGAGGTGGGCCACGTGGGGCCCACACACTGGGAAGGATCCAGGAATCCAGAGGCTTGTACGTGGAGTTGACATCTGATCAGACCACGATGAGCCACGGGCGTTTGCTTTAAAGTCACATCTGACTCTGTGCCTGACCATCCCTGCTCCGAGGAGAGGGCGGGGAAGTTGCTAGGGACTGAGCGGCTCCGTCTTCTGTGTGGATTCGCTTCACCTTCGTGTTATGTCACTTGGCTAAACTGAGACATTGGGGCCCTCCAGGGCAGCTCAGAAGGCCCAGTGTCCCTTGCGCAGACCCTCGAAGGTCCTTCCCAGATGCCACTGTGCCCTGAAGTGCAGGTTCCCCAGACTTCCATCCCACGTCCCTCGCAATACTTAAGGTCTCTTGAGGGTTCACAACGTGCACTGTGACTTGTCGGTCTGTCCTCAGGCAACGTCACTCTCGTGTGTATGCAGCAGTGTCCACCCCCTTCCTGTTGATGTGTGGGGCCATGCCGTGGTTGTTGTCAGCCCTGCATGCCCTGTGCACGTTTTGTGCGGACAGTTGGTCGTCCTTTAAGGGGAACTAACGGCAGGGACGGTGATTGTGTGTCTCCGTGCTGGGTCTGCACTCCTGCTCGCAGGCATCCTCCTGGCTTCTCAGCGCAGCTGTGCTGGGGATGGAGTCTGTCAGCTTCTGTGTGTCTGAGAAAGCCCCCAGTCGCCCTGCTTGTGAGCAGCACTTTCTCTAGAGAGAGTCCAGGTGGAGGTTTGTCTTCACACGTCAGGAGAGAGCTGCCTCTTCCGCTCCCATTGTCTGCGGCTGAGTTGCTGTCATCCTTGCATGTCTTTTATGACTGTCTCCTTGTCCCTGGCCACATGCCCAGACACACCTCTGTCACCAGCAGGTTCCTCGTATCCCCTCCTTGGTCCCAGCACTCAGCACTGCAGGGCACAACGTGGGAATGTGGGCGGCTGCCTGGGCAGGCGGCACGTGGCCAGGCTGCATGTACAGTGGGGCGTAGAGAGGACCCAGAGCATGGACATGGCACCAAACACCACAGGATGGAGATGCTGAGTTTTGGCAGCAAGGCCAGGGGGCTGTGCGTGAGGGTGTTCGCCTTAGGGGACTGCAAGGTCTCTGAACACCCCATACAGAACAGTCCATCCCCCAGCTGCTCACCAACCTTGTCAGCCCCTTCCAGATGCTTCTTTCAGGCTTGCAGTTCTGTAGGGCAATGGGCCGCAGGGTGGGGTCTGAGGAGGCCTGGCCCTGTGTGCAGGTGCCTCAGCCCCTCACCTGCTGTCCTGGGGGTTACTCTGGGCAGGCCTGACCTCATCTACAAAGGCCTGCCCGTGCCATGGCTCTCCATGTGCGAGTGGTCACAGGACACTGGCCACGTCTTGGGTCAGCCACTTCCCAACTCCTAGGGCAGAGGCAGGGTGTGGCCACCCAGTATGTTTGCCCAGCCCACAATGGCTGAGGCACCTGGCTAGGCTGCAGGGTCCTGGGGCACCTGTCCACATCACTGGGTGCCCATCAGGACCTGAATTCCTGCAGCCGGGCAGCATTGGGGTATCCCATGTCCCCCAGGTTCTCAGGCTATGCTTGTCCCTGCAGAGGCGTGCTGGCCCCGTACGCTGTGCCCTCAGAGCTCCTGCTGGTGGAGGAGATCCCGCGGAACCAGATGGGCAAGGTCAACAAGAAGGACCTTCTCAGGCAGTTCTACCCCCTGTGACCAAGGGCGCCATCAGCCATCCAGCTCTCGAGAACGTCCCCTTCACACCGAGCACCTGCAGGGGCCCTGCACCCTTTAAACTAGAACCCCCGAAACAGGTTAGACAGAATCAAGAAGCGGCGGTTTGGGACGAAGTCACTGTGGGAAGCCCCCAGGCCCCAGGCTGCTTGCTGAAGCTCCAGGTGGCCCCAGTCACTCCCCAGTCCCCTCTGCCCAGTCCTCGTGCCACTAGCATTTACTGACCTCACAGGTGGCACAGCAAGGACGTGGCCAAGGCACCTCTTGTTCCCCAGGTGCCCTGAGGCTGCCAGGCTCTCTCCAGGGCAGGTCCCAGGAGGGTACCAGAGGTGTCATCCAAGAAAAGAACAGAAATAAAGACCATGCAGGAGAAAGCAAGTATCTGTCCCGTGCTGTCTGCCCATCGCCTGCTCGTACACACAAGCACACACATGTACACGCTTCACTCAGAGCCTTGGCGTCCCCAGGCTCATGCAGCATTCCATGGCTGCCCTGGGAGACTCCTGGCTGGAGCCCATCTGTCCTGAGGCGCCTGTTTACAGACCACCCAGAATCAGCCTTGCAGCCCCAGCCTTGAAAAGGGCAGCTGTGGCTTTCCCACGTCTCCATGTACAGCTCTCAGCCAGTCACAGCAGCACGGGAGCAGCTCCTGCTGTGTCCGCCACACATGTCATACAAAGTCCAGAGTCCTCACAGTCCATGAAAGGCCCTGCAGATGTTTGGCCTTGATCCTTGACCCTGTCTCGCCCCCTGGGGCACCTCAGCTCAGCTAACCTTCCCCTCCTCTCGGTCACCTCCTTCTGACCCCCACCTGCTCCACTGCCACATCTCCTGTCCATGCCCCCTGGGTTCCCCCCAGCTCCGGAGCCACCAGCATGGTCGAGCGAGAGCCTTGAGAACACGTGCAGAGGGGGCCAGCCTGGTGGTGCACTGCTACAGTGCGCCGCTTGGGAGTGGCGGCGCTCCCGCCGAGGGTTCGGATCCCACATACAGACCGGTTCCCGCTCACTGGCTGAGCGAGGTGCAGGAGCAACACCGAGGGTTGCGATCGCGTGGCCGATCCCGTGGCCGGTCCCGGTCCGGTACGGGCGCGACACTGAG